AAAAAAAAATTACAGTGATGTATACAAGTATTGGACATTGCTATCACTCATATGCCATGGCATGCGAGTAACTCGGGTTGTGTAGCTACTAATTAAAAGCAAACTTTTTGGTGTTGAGTTTTGTAAAAATGTACACAAATTAAATCTCAAATGTCTCCACCCAAATCCCAAATCTGCTTGATTACAAATCTGCCAGCCTAAATCACTGGCTCGCCATGGCGTATGAGTGACAATAATGCCTAATAACATAAACATGTACTTAATTAAGTGCAGTCGATATAGTCGCTGTAGCTTTTTTTGTTTATTAATTTATTTTCACAGTTTCAAGTAAATTCCTTACTAAAGTTTGTTGGATTTAGCGATTTAAAAATAAAGTTATTAGAATTTAGTAGACTAATAAGGTTGGTAGACAAAATATTTGGAGGATTTTTAGAACTCAGTACTAAATTGTTCAACGCTATATTTATGTATAACAATTTCAACTCCATTCATAGATAAAATACTTACATTAGGAAGAAATTCAAATTTAGAACTCACCGAGCACGAAAATTTTTAAGACTTCAAATTCTCAAACTGTACACACCGTGTAGCTTCGCTTCGGACCTAATCGCAATGCATAAAAATCTATGGAGAGTTAAAAGAAAGAGAAAAAGTTGCAACAAGGTCTCAATAACTTATACAAATGGCTTTGCGGAAACAGACTGAAACTCAATATTAACAAAACAAAACATATGGTCACAACGAGAAACAATGTCAATGATGAGAACATAGCTGCGCTAAAACTAAATAATGGAAGTATACAAAAAGTAGAAAGCATATAAAATATTTAGGCTTACCTTCGGGCAAACTGGGCCTAAGTGTATTTCTTTCAACATTAGATACAGGGAGCCGCTTCAATCTAACCCTACCTAAATAAAGTATTGGAAAATATTAAAAAAAAAAATTGTATGTCTGTCGTAACAAAAAAAAAAAAAGTAATGCGAAAACCTTTCCTGAATCTATACGTGCTCTTTAAAATTTATGGAACTACATTTAGTATTTTTTCCACATATTTTCATACCCCCAATTTGTAGTTACAATATAATAATATTAGCCAGCCTAATGTCCTAATCTACATAGTACACCCACCGCTCAGCCATAAAAATTTGTTTGTTTTTTTTTTCTGAGCGCAGTTTGTACACATCCAAATAAAAACTAACATAAGCTGGTGTGATATAAACAAAAAACGCACATGTAAGCCCACGACACATACTCAGAATCACAGAGATGTGCATACGGCCTTACATATGGACATCCACCTATTCACATGCAGGCGGTAAGCCTGAAATGTGTGTCACATTAAATTATACAAAAAACAAAGATTTGAACGACCTCACTTAATCAAATATGCGAAGCACAAGTGTAGCGCACACAGAAATTCTGAGAATGTGATGAAAAAAAAACCCAAAAAAGAAAACAGCAAAAAAAAACTACAACGAAATCTGTTAGCAAAGTGAAAACTGCGGCCTTGTTGAAGGCAACATAAAAAACCAAAAAATAGCACTCAGGCATGAAAAATTGTTGCGCTGCACCATGAATAATGCAGAAAACTTACAAATTTCTTAACAAAAAAAAAATTGCTTATGTCATAGCAAATCAATATTCGCATAAATTTTTTAAAGAAGCTAAACAAATTTCAATTTTGCTTTTATCAGGAACAGTTGTGTCATCCATATAAAATCAAGAGAGATGGCATTTCATTTTTGTGCGAAATTTTGTGGTTGTGACCTTCAATATGTACATATATGCTAATTTGTATAATTTGTATAAAAAATTGTATAACTAAATTAATGTTCATCGAAATGTTATTAACGCACAGTGGAAGTTCTATTTCTCGCCTGGGGTGTACGCTTGTGTATTATGGTACGGAAAGCGCCATCAGAATTCAATGAGAGTCGCTTCATTTCGATGACCATCTACAATGAATTTCTGCTGACTTGTTTTCTCAATGTTTCCATGTAAGTAATATCTATAGCACTTATGTAGTTAGTTATTGTTAAGTTATATGCTTAGTACGTATATTTGTAAGTTTCATGAGACTGACAGCACGAAAAATTCGAATGGTTGAAATACAGATTGAACAATGGCAGTTATTTCTCAACGACCATAGTGCTAGGTAGGATTTGATGTTAAAGAAATCTCCCGAATAAGAGTGTGAGCTAAATTTTACAACTTTAAACGAGTTTCCTTAAAATTTATAGGCATAGCTATATCTAACTATTTTCTTATTAGGCAATAAACTCTCAAGCACGGGAAAGCGCTTAAGGGCTGTCCCGATTGAATCTTAATCCAATAAAGCATGCCATTCGTTTCCTTTCTGACGACAATTGCAGATGCCAAGTGAAACTAAGTTCTCCATCTGGTCAATCCATAGCAGAAGAGACCTTTCTCTTCCTCTATTTTGCCATCATCGCAACCTGCGTTAAATACTTTCGGACGTCCTGACCGACCCACCGGAGCCGCGGTATTTTAATCAGCAGCATCAGATCTATATCGCTGTAAAGCTCATACAGCTCATCGTCAAACGCGCAAATGTCTTTAAATCTCTCTCACATTCTTTTTTCGAACGGTCCAATTACCGTTATTTCAGACTTTTCCTTACATCGGGATAAGACTGATGAGTGACTTATAGAGAATGATTTTTGTACGACGAGAGAGGAACAAGTTTGTTCTCACTATTTGTCTTATGACAGGAGATACTTCGTTTTAACCTCGTTTACCCCCAGATCCAAGCGCTGTTCTTCTCTATCTGTCTGAAACTTCGTTTTGTCGAATGGCTTGGAGAGGTCATTCCCAATTCTGACGGAGCCGGTAGTATTATTCAACGTCATTTTACACAGTCAGATTACTTTCACCAATAAATGGTGTTCTTTTCCAAGACTTGGCATATTGTGAATACCTGGTCTATGGTGGATTTTCCAGGTCTAAAGTCATACTGATATGGCCCAATCAGATTGTTTACGGTGAGCTTCAGTCTTTCACACAAAACACTCGATAAGGGTCGTTTTTTTTTGTAGATTGGGCAGAGATCTGCATGCACCTTATCAACTCCTTCCGCCGTACTTGCATAGCTCAGCTGCCCGGCCGTCAGCTCCCACAGCTTTTTTGTTTTCCAGCCGCGTAATCACTCTTCGTGTGTTGTCAGAGTCAGGCGGTGGGACATTTATCGTCAGAGACTATATTCTCGGGTTGGTCTTCTCCACACTTTTCAGTGTTGCTAGCATTCAATAGGATGGAATAGGGTACCCTCAGCAATTTAGACACGACCTGGATATCGATCACTAAGCCGCCATTGTTGTCCTTACCAGATGTTATCAACCAGCCGGGCGGATGCTTCTTCCCTATTAAGGGTCCAGATATTCCAGATGCGTACCTTTACATCATATGCTTCTGTGGCCGTCATCAAAAGAGGGATCCGTCGGTGCCCAAACCCATTCGCACATGAGCTTGTTCGCCTTTTCACTTTAACTCGCTTCGATATCGGTATTAGGCGGGTACCAAAGAGAATACGTGCATTTGAAAATTCGAACGTCGCTAGCTACAACTACTTATAAACCGTAAGAATAACTTCTAGCCACTCCCTGCTGAAAAGCAGTCAAAAGCTTTCCCCTCTTTCGTGAACTTTTGCGCACGGAGCCATACTCCAATTTCTATTATTTCGAAGTTATTGTTTTTCGTAGAAATTTTTCACATAAATCGGCTTTAAGCTCAATAAAATGATTATCGCCTTAGTGGAGTTAGTAGCCAGAAACCGAATGAGAGAAACCTACATTTTAAATACATAAGTAATAGAAATGTCTTTCCATCCGTAGAGGTGCAAAATGAGCCAAAAATACATACATATGTATTTTATATAAATTTTCTTCCAAAAATTAAAAATTAAATAAATATTTGGCCCACTTCTCGAACACAAATTGACAGCTTAACGACAGCAAAGTCAACAATCCTGAAAACACAATGACATAGCAAAGGGAACAAAAGTAATATTTCTAATTTATTTCCTTTTCCTTTCTGTTTCTTGTTATTTCTTTTGTCGTTTGTTTTTTTCTTTTCTTCTGCTCTATCTGTTCCCGCAGGCTCTTTCTACAATCACCAGCTAATCCTGACTTGCTTTACATCATTTTCTTCTGTCACACTCAATTGACGGTGACACCTTTATTGGGTCTAATTTTCGGCAGCAAGGTAAGCTACACAGCTCTCTCCCACCACCCAAAAATTTATATACATATACATATATAAATACGACAAATTCCTAAATAAGGTTGTTAAAAATGAAAAGCTGTTTACTTTTCGTATAAATTACATTTGTGGGAGTTTTGTGTTTTTTAATCCACGATTAACTTGTAAATACTTGTTCATATTGTTGTTGTTTACATTGCAATGGTATTACTTACCCGCTGTATTTTATTCTCGCTTTTATTTATATTTTTTTGTTATTACAAAATAACAGGTTTACATTGTGTTGCGCAGCGGCANATCTCGCTTTTATTTTATTTTTTTTTTTGTTATTACAAAATAACAGGTTTACATTGTGTTGCGCAGCGGCAAATCGCATCAGGAGACCATTGGCATGGGCGCCAAATCCTCCGGCGCTAAATTCAATTTTCGTCCACAGGTGCGCACATACGCTAATCCCAGCTCGGTTACAACGTCCACAGTGCCCGCAGCGGGCACCACTTCAGGGGGTAAGTTGGAATTTTATACGTTTCACGGTGTTTTTTTTTTTACTATTTTTTTACACATGTACATATGTGTGTGTGTAATACTCTTATTTAGTTTTTGCTTCAATTTTATAAGTTACTCATTTTATTTTTGTAATATTATTTTCTCTCTGGCTCCCAACGAATTTTTGGCTGTTCATATTTTATTAAACGCCCTCTAAAATTTATTTTGGCTTTATTTACAGAACCGCAAAAGAGGAAGCTTAAAAATATCTTAAACTGTAGGAGTATTAAATATTTATGTTTGTTTGGTATTTATTTTTAGATAACCATTCCTAATGAAAAGAGCGATGGTTGACAGGTATAATAAGATTTAAAATAGTGGCACTGGTCCTATTGCTTATAAATATTTATAGGCAAAATAAATTAAATAGCGGACTTTAATAAATATTCAATTCTAGATTTTGCTCACAGCTCAGTCTACGTGATATTCGGTTTAATATTATGTTTTCAAAATTAACAAAAAAAAAATATATTAAATTATTTTACCGTAAATATGTTATGCACAAATAAGCAGACTAAGTAGAAATTTTTCAGAGTATGAATAATGTGCTAAATTTCAACTAAATTAGCCCGTTCAGTATAAAAATCAGCTTAAATTTCTTTGTAAGCATTAGGGTACATCACTGTCCATTAAAAAAAAAAATTGGTTCTGTTTTTCCATCGGAATTATAAAATTTTTATATTTTAAGATCTTCGCAAAAGTATTGCAAAGGAGTATCTAGATTTACGTGAGCTGCACCAATTTGAAAATCCCTCCGAAAATCGAGCTTTTTAAAAATAACATTGGTCTTGAAAAATATTTTTTCCAAAATATAACCCCAGATGATAAAATGGTTTAAAATTACAGGCTTGCATAGTATTGTTCAAAACTTTATCGATGACTCACAATAATACAATTTTTGGAAGTATTTTGAAATCGGTCCAGCTCTCAGAAAGCTTAATATTTTCTTGAAGAAACAGAAGCTACTAGTTTCTGAAAAATTTGAAGAAATGCAAGCTTTTTTTCGCTAGGCACCCTTATAAACATAAAGTTTTAAAATTATTTTTTCAAGTAGCAACTCTCTGCAAAAATTTGTCTGAATAAACGCATAAGCCAATACTTTTTGTTTCATATCCAAGTTGTATTTTTATATTGAGCTGAAACAGAATAAATCGATTTATATTTGAAAAATATTGAAAACTTCATGCTTCCAAAATAATTTTCTGATTTTTTTTTGGCAGGTGGCACCATCATAAGTCTCTTTCTTTTAATGCCCGTATCATATGATTTTATTCAACTTATTGATTAAATTAAATTTGACTTTCAGGCAGGTTTGCCACCTCTTTCAAACTAGTTTCGAAATAAAGCTTACTAAATTTGATACCCATATTAAGTTATTTCGTCCAACTTCTCAACTTAATAGATTTTGAATTACTAAACAAGTGGAAACCCTCTACAAAAATATTTATTAAGAAATAAATCCTCCATAGAGTTTTTTCTTTTAACACCTATTATACAGCACCGCATTAAATTATTAGCACAGGCATTTTTTCACAATATATGCAAAATTTTTTACTTTAATTTTAGCCACTCATTTTTTATAAAAACATGGCTCATGCTACAAAAAAAAAATAAATATTAGTGCTCTCAACTTTGTGCAAATCTCAGGAAAAATTTATAAATTTTCATACAAGTTTGCAGTATTTTAATCAGTTTTACTACAAATATTCCTAGAATGTAGTTTTATAGCCCATTCAATTTTAAAATAACAAAGTGCAAGTTTGAAGTTGGTAAAAATTCGCGTTGATTTTTGGCAATTTTTTTTTAACGCAGTTTCTTTTATACAAAGTATCACACAAAGTATGTTCGACATTTTATTTTTTGTTCACAAGAAACTGAGTGAAAAAAACTACCAAAAGGTGGCAACTATCTTCAAAAAATTCTTTTTAAAAATAAACTCTGCATAAGCCGCTCTCATTTGACACCCATAGATTTGCAAATATTTCAATTAGGTTTAGTTATATTGGTTTTGAATTTCACAATAGGTGGCAACCCCTTAAAAAAATTTAATCAGAAAATAAAAATTTCTTCAAACGCTCTCATTTGATACACATATTAAAATATTTCGTTCACCCCTAAAAATTTGTCTAAAAAATTTTGTTAACCAGTCTTCTAGTACCTCGGTATTGATTAAAAAAACGCGAATTTTTTGAAACTTTTGGAGATGATCATGGTCTTTTTTCAGGGTTTCTGAAAACTTTGAAAACATTTGAGATATTTATGGTTTTTTTAAGAAATTCTTTTGGAAATATTTGAGCTTTCCTTATAGTTTCTTAGCCGTTTGGGATTTTCTGCACTGATAGTGCGTCATTTCGAAGTTGTTCCTAATATTTAAGGATTTTTTTTAATCAATGATATCTTTAAAGATAGCTTTGCATTTTCTACTCAAATACACAAATTGAATACAAAAATTTTGAAATTATATTCTGTGGGTGCTTCGATATTGATGGATCTACAAAACAGCCAGTGGCGTTGATAAGAAGGGGGAGCAAAAAGTAATACATCCCCCATGAAAGTCGATATAAATAATCAATTAAATCAAAAATTAATTTCTCCATCTATGGCACGGTGATATCTAAGCCACTAAACACTGCACCTTAAAAACTGTGCACAGAACAAGAATAGTATAACCCATGATTTGGGGTCGCTGCGCCCATGATTTTGTCTCCTTAGTATCAATACCTTTCAATGCATTCCTGCAGATAGATATAGTAGAGCTTTTAAGGATTAATTTTGATTTCTGATTTTAGGCTCGTTTTGAGTGAATACAAATCTTTAGAAATTGACTACAGTCATTCTCAGAAGAATTTTGTTTTTATTTGAGAGGCTATGAAAACATTATTGGCCTATATATGTATGAACAATCACTTGCATTCCTAAATGTATCGCTTTTTATCGAATTATTTATCGATATCGTTATCGATATATTAATATTATGACATTCGTTGACTTTAACACTAGCAATATTGGCTGGAAATGTCAACGCCACAAACCTGCAGCATATGTATGGACACTAAGGTGCCTCACCAAAAAAAAAAAATTTCGGTTTATTATATTTTAAGACTTGCGCAAAAAAATTTCGGAAACTATTTGATAAAATGTATGGAATGTTTTTATGCAAACCTTCTAAGCTTAAACTCGTCTATCATCTGAGGAGACTTTTTGGGGGGAAAAAAAATCTAAACTTTTATTTATGTATAAGAAACTCGATTTCGGATGTATTTAAAAATCGATCAAGCTCACGTATATCCTAATACATGCATTTCGGAAATATTTTAGCAAAAGCTCAAAACTATAATTGATCGTATTATTCCGAAGGACAAATGAACCAATTTTTCTTTTGTATGGAGAGTGTTACGCCTTAATGTGCATATATATTAAATTCTTCCATATATTTTTATGCACCATAATTCACAAGTATATTAAAGTTGCAACTACATGTCAGCTGCTTAAAACGCTCGATATATGTATTTATTTGAACTGCTTCGCTTGCTTACTCACTGATTACCGCCAGCGTTCAAAACTCCCCGCAGCCTTTTTCTTCCTCTTTCTTATCACTTTTTATAAAAGATAGCAAAGATTTTGACAGTGACCGGCGAACTGCATCATTTGTCAAAATATTTCTATGTCTAATAGTTGTAACTAGTACAAAAAGTGCAAAGTAGCACTTTACGCCATCTCAGTTTATGCGCCGCCAGCTAACTGCCACAGCCATTAGCAAATAAATCTCGTTCTGCTCATTAGTTAGCAGTCAGAAGACTTTGCTTTATTTTAGTCCAGTTGTTAAGATTTCGTAAATCACATTATGCATGTAAACATTTCTTGTCCAACAGTCGCGCCAGTAAAGTGTTTTACTGGCTCAAATATTCTGTTTTATGTTAGGATTTCATTAGCTAAGTAGTTGACGGCCAGTCGCGAATTTTTTATATTTTTTTTTTTTTGCATAAAAATAGGAGTAAGCACTTAATATAATTTAATTTGCCTGCAAATGATTTTTTTTTTTAGCCTAGCGTCTCGGCGCATATCAAAGATCTCTATTGCCACCAGCGGTTTTACGATAGTATATGTATGTAACTTATGTTTACATACTTTCATAAATATATTCTCTTCTGTTATTTGTCTCAATTTGTCATCGTTTATTAAATATGTACATACATATATATATATATATATATGTTTTTTTTTTGTTTTTGTGCTTCGTCGTATTAGTAACTGGTACATAAGGTCAAAATTGTTTGCAGTGTTGTAGACTTTTGCATTGTTGTGCTTTTATAAGAAATGGAATTTTCCCAGAAATATTTTTTAAGATCTTCTAAAAATCATATAAAATAATATCTTAAATGAGGTGTTTTTAAGCTTCAGTTTTCACTAAATCAGAAAAATTAACAGCATATAGCTGCAAATTTTTAAGATATAATCTATTAAAGGTCTGCATGGGAATTCAGTTTGCTTCACTGTGAATTTTTTTTCAAATATGTATACTACTCACACTCTAACAAAGAGGGCATGGAAGGAAAAGAAGTGAAGATATTGAGCGTGTATACATAAAAAAAGTACTCAAACAAATTATGTTCCGAAAAAAAGAGGAACATAAATCAGCAGTACCATGCTGTTAAACTTCCACAAAAAAATGTTTCCTTCACAAGTATTTTTTGAGTATTTTTGGAAGTTTTTGTTTAATGCTACATAATGGGTAGGTTCAGAAGGTGCAGAAGTTGAGCGCAACCGTTGCTAAAAAAATCAATGATCGTAATGCGTCTTCTGAACGGCTTGATACATTAGCTGTCAATTCAAAACACACAACACGTTGTCTCAAATGATCAGAAAAATTTTACGATCATCTAACACGCAACTGTTCAGTTGATCAGAAGTACAAAACAACGCATTCAGAAGGTGCAATCGCAACAGTTACTGAGCTGTTGCGCCTTGCTGAACGTGCCCAATGTTAATGTTAGAGCTGACTCTTAGCAAACGTGGAGAAACAACGTAGGGCACTCTGAATATTTAGCCAACAGCATATTTTTATTAAGAAAGTGGACTCATTTTATACAAAGAACCAATATTTATTTGTACAATACGATACTTTCATTTCCCAATACCAGGCGCACATACATATATCGAGCCCTAACCGCCAAAATAACGTAAGCGAAATTTTTTTCAAAATTTTCTTTTTGATGCAGAAATGTATCTAGATGCTCTAGGAATATTTCTGCATCAAAAATAAAATTTTGAAAAAAAATTTCGCTTACGTTATTTTGGCGGTTAGGGCTCGATATAAAGTAGCAAGCTTTCCATACGCATACATTTGTTTGTAGAAGATTTTAATTCATTTGTAGGAGCCTTTGGAAATTCACAAAGTAGAATTTTGGAAATTTAAAAATTTATACAAACAATTTTCTGCTTAGAAATAGAAAACTTCCCTGCAAACCAAAGTTCCCGAAATCTTAAGGAAATCGTTAGGAGTATCTCATTTCTGTAACGATTTTTTTACGAATTTTCAAAGAAAATTATATGAAGTGGTTGACACGAACTCGTAAAGAAATTTCTGTACGAAAAATAAAGAAAATTCTGGAAAAATTCTGAAAGATATTCTTCACATAGCACCATTATTTTCGTTGCTTCACAGATTTTCTTCCGAAATTTCGTAAAATAATGGAAGTGTGCGTAATTTATTTCATTTTAGAAAATTCGGCAAAAAATCGAATTAAATCTTAACGAATTCTTTAAAATTTCTTTACAATGCAGAATACTCTGAAGAAATGGTTTGCAGGGTTGTTACTTCACATGTATGAGCGCCTGGTATTGTGAAATGAAAATATCAATTTGAAAAAAAAACTGGCCATAAAGACAGGTCGCGGGTAAAAAATGGACACACATTTTTTGTTATTTAAAAAATTTACATAATATGTATGTACATAAATCATGTATATGTATGAAAGATTCGAACTTTTTTGCAAACATTAAAGCTTCCGGCGAGAAATGTAAAACAATATTTTAAGTATATGTATGTATATTGGAATAAACGGAAAATGTATGTTTTTTCTTAACATTATGTTGAACGCATTTTAAAAGATAAAACTTCATAAGTATTCCTATACTTCCTATGAAGTTTTCAAATACTATTTATGCAATCAACATACTCAAGTACTCTGGAAAAGCGGAACAGTGTTTTATGTAGCAAAGCGCTGTTGAGTAACATTGCTTAGTTCCTCAAATTTATGATGTTCTCTTTTTTTGTTCCTATCTTTTTAAGTACTCTAAAATATATGTTCCATTTACTCATGTACACATGTGAAGAGTATTTCTGCTGGTATATTTGCAGTGCTTTATAATCTGTGTACATTAGGGAGGTCCAAAAACAGCAAAGTTGGAATTGTAATGCTCTCACCCCCTAGGATTGTTCTATATCGAAAAAAGTATACCCCTATCTTTTTATTTTGAAATCAAAAAATATTTAGAGGTCGCTCAAAGTGCTCAAAGTTTTCTATGTATTTTTATATGGGAAAAATAAAATTGTTCGTAGAAATGGTATAGAATTCTTGAAAGTCAATATGGTTCGATCGCAAAACTCTGGTTCTCTTCAGAAGACTTTCAATAATAATATTGTTTATTTAACCATTTTTCAATACTAACGTTTTTTTATTGGTCGACACATTGCATTTTTCGAGGTTGTTGTGGGTTTTGGGAGGACCTATAAAATATAGTTGCAATGAAAAAATGGTTAAGTGAACAATTGGGTATTATTATTGGGAATCTCCTGCAGATAAGCAGAGTTTTCTGGTAAAAAATATTGATTTTTAACTACTCTATACTATTTCTATGAAAACTTGTTTTTTTTCCAAATATAAAACACATGGAAAATTTTGGGCGGTTTGAGCGACCTGTAAATATTTTTTGATTTCAAAAAAAAAATAAGGGTATACTTTTCTTCGGTATAGAACAATCCTAGGGGGTAGAGCATGAAAATTCCGACTTTACTTTTTCGCATGCATTTTTGGACCACCCTAATGTACATACACATGTTTTTCAGACTGGTCAGCAGTAAGAATTATTTAAATTGTCGAAGGATGACTTTAATACAGGACATTGAGTACTAGCAAAAAAGAAATAAAGAGATAAAAAATAAACAAAAGCTCTACCCTCTGAAAGCTTACAAAAAGTTGGGATACTCTTTTATACAGAATTTAGGAAAGAAAGCAGAGATTGAGTGGCCCGAGAGAAAAACTAAAACAGTAGAGCGTTCTATGAGACTCTAAAATGAACTTTAAAATGGAAAAGTACTCTTTGCCAACCATCTCACAAAATGGTGAAGCCTATTCGCCATTCGCTTCCTGGGTGCTGTCTGAAATAACCGCAGCTTTTGATAAAGCGTTCCCTGGACTTTGAGATTTTCACAAATAATAACTAGATTACATTTGAGAGTAAAATCCAGAAAAAATTACTTCACAAAATTACTCCTCAGAAAAAATGAAATGTCCACCTGTTAATATTTTTTTTTTTTTAGTTTTTTCTTAAGATTTTGTTTAGACTCAAACCGTATTCTTTGTGAACACAGATTTGAACTCTGATCATAATATAAAACACCTTTTTATTTCATATCTCTATGGCAAGTTTCTCATATTTCCACCGTTCTTTTTTGTCGATTTTCCATAGATACAAAGCTTTCCGATCAGGAGGCACTCGAAGAAATTCGTCAGCTGAGCAAGCAACTGCAACGCATTCAAGAGATGGCACCGCCGAAAGGTGTTGCTGTTATGACAATATCTAGCCTTTTGGATGGTCTCAAGACGCCAGGCGGCATGATTATGGTCGCCGCTGCCGCTTCTCAGGCCGCCTCATCGAACAATCAGCTGACAGTGCGTCCATTTACGCCCGGTGCCGGGGGTGGCGGTTGTGGTAGCCCCAGCGGCGGCGATGGCGCTGGCGGTGCCTTACCATTACTCTCACTCAACAGCGAGATGGAAAAGTACAATCAGCAACTGCAGTCAACACACAACAACAACATCACTCCAGCAGCACCTTTAAGCACATCGAATGGCAGTGGTGCGCAACCAATACGGCCAAGGCCCACGGTGCTGGAAGTGGAGACTAGCACTACCACCGTAGAAGAATATGCGCTTGTACCGCGCGAAGATCGCGGGATAAATACCGACTTGACGCGTAGCGAAGACTTTCATCAGCAGGCGCTGGGCTGTGCGCAGGGCCACATCATCTGTACGCGCTGCTTGACTATTTCTAAGGAGCACTACTTTAGCTGCCGGCCATTCACACCACCACATGGTTTGAGGATAGGTAATGTTTCTAGAGGCAGTAGAAGAGCTGGCACTTGTGCCGGCGATGAGGAAGTCTTTGGCGGCGCCACTTGCCAACAACTGGGTTCGCCGCAGCCCGAGGGTAGTATTAGTTTCGCGAACATCAAATTGGATTGCATGTGCTCACAGCCAGACTTAGACTACGAGGTTGAGTCGAGTGTGCCACAGCGACGACGCATCAATGTACGCAGCGCTGCCACCAACACCCCACCATCTACCGGCAGTAGTAGTAGAAGGCGCACCGGGCGCGCGAAAACGTGGCAAGATGTCATCGGTGAAGGCGGAAGCGCTGATGTCAGCTACCGTATTTGTGATAATTGTAAAAATAAGTATCGAAATAGCAATAAATATGGCGGTAGAAAGTTCCGAAAAAGCAGCGGACTCACCGCTTCGTCATCGACGACAACAGCAATAAAAACTAAGCGGTCCGATGTCAGTCAGACGCGTAGCAATGACTTGCTTGATCGCCAACTACCGCTAACGATGTCTACCTTTAGTAGCAGCACAGCAGCTGGAGATCATCAAAGACCCAAAGTGCACTCCACAGACGATATCATTTTCTATACCACCACTGATGAAAGCAGCACCAACAGCGACGACGACTCTTCGGACGGCGTGGGTGAAGGCGCTTGTAGTCGACTGCGGAGACGGCAACGCGAACTGACTTGTCAGTCAACATCTGCGCTTAGCACTGCAGCCATAAGCTGTGCGACGCTGAAGAAGGATGTTGCGGCTGATGCGGGAACGTCACAAGGCTCCGTGGCGGCAGCATCAGCAATACGCGGCGCGGAAGGCGCTGAGTCGGCCGCCACTAATACGCAATCTTTGGGTAACGTATCAAATGCTTCAAATGTATCGATGAAAAGCGGAGAGACTGCGCCGAATGTGGGCGATAACAATACCAAATCGAATGGGTCTGGGCGTGCGAAAAGACCCGATAAACTAGTACTCGATCTGAATGATCGAACGAAGTATACCAAAGAGGTTTCCGTTTAGATTTCCTAGAAGTTTGGTGTGAAGTGTGTATTTAGTTAATATGCTTAGTTATATACGAAAAGAAAGTCTGCCTAGTAGAAGAGTAAAAGAAATTTTGTAAATTGTAAAAAAACGAGCATCAATACAAATAGAGTAGCATAAATAGTTTATAGTAAGTAAGTA